CTAGCTGCAAAGGGTGGACCAATGTTATATTGAACCCTATGGATTAGGAATGGGATGTCACTTAATCTCATATGTGAGTCAAGGCAGGTGAGCAAATACTTTGGCAATTTAGTGATGTACATATGTATATGGGCGGCTGTGGCTGAGTGGTTAGAGCAGCCGTCCTCCAATGCAAGAGTTGGAGGTTCGAATCCACCAGCAGTCACATGCCGAAGTGTCCCTGGGCAAGACACTGAACCCCTCATAGCCTCCGATGTGTGTCCCATCGGTGTTTAAATGTGATAAAGCTCTGATTAGTCTCTTTAGAATGATTTGTTCAATTAGCTTTGTAGAAATCTAGTAGAGTGCTGTATGAGTGGGTAAATGAAGACACCGATTGTAGTGTAAAGCGCTTTGAGTATCTTGAAATAAGATAGAAAGGCGCTGTATAAGTACAGTCCATATACACATCTATCTATCTATCTATCTATCTATCTATCTATCTATCTATCTATCTATCTATCTATCTATCTATCTATCTATCTATCTATCTATCTATCTACATTACATACATTACATACATTACATACATCATGATGTATCTAAATAATCACTCAAGGCACAGCACTCTACAATTAACTCAAGTGCATCCTGTTTCCATGTATCAACCTTCTGACAAGGTTCTGTTTGGCTCTGCACACCACCAGACTCAGGAATGGTTTTAAAAGGTTTAATTTTAAAGCAGTTTCTTGTGGAGGTCTGGGTCCCGGTGGATGTCTAGTCTGAAGAGAGAGACTAGTTAGTGACTATGAAGCATGTGAGGAATTGAGACTTGCTGTCAATTAGTTACTAACCTTCTCAGTTTGTGACGTGACAAGAACAGAAGCGCTGAACCTGGTGACTTCACTTGTGCAGTGAGAGCTGCAGCAGGAGAGCAGAACAGAGTGCAGTGTGTGGTCCGTGTAGGGCGAGTCCAAAAGCAGGGTCCAGAAAACTTGGCAAGGTCATTAACAGGAGATCAGAGGCAATATCAATACAAGGATGAGATCTGTACGCACAGTCGAAGGGGGAGAAAAAGAGGGTCGGCACAGTGGTCAGATGAAGCAGATAAATCCATTAAGGGGCAAGGCAAGGAGTCAAGAAAACAAGGCTGACGTTCGAGATCGGGAGTCAGAATCAGGAGCGCTGGATATCTACTGGCAAGACGCTTTCAATAATTTGGCACTGGGTGAGAGTGGAGCTGGACTTATAAAGAGAGCAGGGCAGGTGGAACAGATTAGAGCTGATTGCTGTGGCTGAGCAGAGGAGGTGTGGTGCAGGGAGACAGGAGGGTGACATGCATTCCTAGGTAGAATCATTAAAACTAAAACAAAACAGTGGAAGGAAGGGGTAAAAACATGACACCTTCAGATATTTCTAAAACTTGATTGGCATCCAGATGTGGTAAATTCAGAAGATTCAATCTCTGGTGTAGACCCAACCCATTTTTGCATTGAAATACAAAATAATGTAATATAATAGAGTGTATGTTTATTCCTGTTAATAACAGCGGTGAGCCTCCTTAAGGAGTCAGCACAGAGCAGAGTACTATATGCTCAGTGTGAGAACCAGCACATGGCTGAGACCAAAGATTATCTTTAAAAGGTTCATTTATTTCAGAAAGAAAACTGGGTTAGTCCCTAAGCAGGTCACAGTTTTGGCCTCTTATGTGTGTCATGGTCAGAAACTAAGGCAGTAGAGAAGAACTTATTTCACATTGTCATAGAGTTAGCTAAATGTGCAAAAAGTAAAATAAAAAGAGACATGAGCGCCCCCTAGCTGCACTGTCCATGAAAGTTATTAAAAGTTCTGATCATATTTGTTTGGCTGCAGCAACAGAGATATTTGGACCTCATCCGCTGTGATGAGGATGTTGCTTTGGTCTATCATGGTGAAGAAAGAGATGAGTCAAAAGAAAAAGCTTTCAGTTTACTCTTCTGTCTATGTTCCAACCTTAACCGATGGTCATGATTTTTTACTGAACAAGATCCCAGATACAGATGCTATAAAGAGTTTCCTCTGTCCAGTGATCAGGTTCAGACTTGGAAATAAAGTGAGGAGCTCCATCATCTGGGGTGAGCTCCATCATATGGGGTGAGCTCCATCATTTTGGGTGAGCTCTGAACACAGGAGCCAGTTGAAGAGTTTTGGACGTCTAATTAGGATCTCCCCTGGATGTCTCCTTTTGATGGTGTTCCAGGCATGTCTCACTAGGAAGAGACCACAGTGCAGACCCAGAACTCACTGGAAGGGTATATTTCCCCTTCGACCCAGGAATGCCTTGGAATTTCCCAGGAGGTGCTGGAAAATGTCACTAGGGAGAGTCATGTCTGGGTTTCCGTCCTGGACCTGTTGCCTCCTCAAGCCTATCCAAGATGAGCGGCAGAAAATGGATGGATTAATTATTTTGTTTATTTATTGTGAAGCCCTTTGTGATATTTACAAAGTATGTTGAATGGTACTCTCTAAATAACATTTTACGTATTTAAGGGTCATTTGCCTGCCTGTCCAACACCGTACTCACATTTAGATGCTTAGATGCCTTTTATGAAACTCAAACGGACAATGAAAACAGCTTTCTCTAATTGTTAAAAGAACAGATTTTCACACTCAACCTACTACGCTCCTTCTCCACTTTCCGCCCACAGCTCGTCCACAGTTGTGCGCAGCCTACTAAGCACTGAAAAAGTTGTTTCACACTCTGCCTTGCTTTCAGATTGCATGACTCACACACTCTCAAAATATCATTGCCACTATTTGGGTCACCCTGATTCTGAACTGTGTGTGCGCTCTGCTGCTACTCTTTTAATAGTGTGCATGTGTCGTTATTACCCTATGAACGTGTGTATTGTGTCATGTTACCTGAGACGAGCAAAGGTTAAAAAGAAAAGCAAAAATAATAATTTATCTGTATTAAAACTGCTCAGTGTCACACCATTGTTTACTTCTTCACTGAACAGCTGACTTCAAACTGAGATCAAATCCCACACCGGTGGACTCTTGTTGCTAACAAGGCAACTTATAAATCAATTTGTACTGTGAATGTTTTTGAAGCATTCACAATATTGAGATCCATTTTTCTTCCGTGTGTTTTTGGCATTTTTCTCTTTCCACAACTTTTGTGTTATTTCAATAAATCATCAAATTCTTCAGATCCTACAATGACTTTTGGTATTGGTGTAACTTTAGCTTTTTGACAGATTTAGCCTTTTAGGATTTTAGATCCTTCGAATGTTTAGATCTGTTTACAACCTGTTATTGCTCCTTTCACATTTTTTTCATTCATTCAACCTTTATTTATACAGGTTTGTCCCATTGAGCCTCGGGGACTCATTTACAAGAGAGACCTGAAATACGATCAATACGTCATACGATCAAAGATGAATCGTTTTAGAGCCCGACTCGGTTTCCAAGTCACGTTTGTGTTTTCATCTTTGATCTTTTTACAAAAGTTATTTAAAAAACTTTCAAACGTCATCTGAAGACGAAAAGTGAGCAGCCGACCTGAATCCCGATGAACTTTATTAAAACCAAATACCAAAACCAAATTTAGTTCTGCTTCAGCTTCTTTCATCTTCCTTGTGCAAATTTAAACTTTGTTTCCAGCTACTTTCAGCTAACGTCAGCTGTTTTTTCAGCTGTTTTGTGCTCCTTTCACATTCTTCTAACTACAATATTTTTGTGATTCTTCTAACTTCTTTCTGCCTATTTCAGCTTGTTATGCTCCTTTTTAGCTTTTTTCTGCAAGTTTCAACTTTTTCTGCTGTTTCAGCTACTATTTAGCTGTTTTATGTTAATTTTAGCTTTTTCAGCTAATTCCACCTTATTTGCACTCATTTAAACATTTTTCAGCCTAATTCAACAAAAACGTGCTCTTTCCACTTCCTTCTGGCAATTTAAACTTTTTTCAGCTTTTATTTTAGCTACTTTTAAGCTGTTTTTGTCAAATTTATGCTTAATTTCCACTTTTTGTGCTCATTTCTGTTTACTTAAGCAAACCTGTTCTTTCTGCATTTTTCTGCTAATTTAAGCTTGTTCTACCTTTTCAGCTACCTTTTTAGCATTTTTAGCAAATTTAAACAATTTCTGATAAATTCAAGTTTTTTGTGGTACTTCCTGCTACATTCAGCCTAATTAACCTCTTTGTGCTCATTTCAGCTTTTTTCTGCTAGTTTCAGTTATTTCAGCTACTATTTAGCTGTTTATGCTAATTTTTTTTCTTTCAACTAATTCCACTTTTTTTTTTTTAGCTCATTTCAGCTCTGTCTGCTTCCTACTGGTCGTTTGGAGGTTCTTTCTGCCTTTTCAGCTAACTTTTAGATTTTTTTAAAAAAATTTTTTGCTAATTTCAGCCTTTAGCTGATTATCTAATTATTATGTTAATTTCTGCTTATTCAAACCTAATTCAGCAAATAAGTGTTATTTCTGCTTTCTTCTGGTAATTTAGGATTGTTCTTCCATTTCAGCTATGTTTCAGCATGTTTTTCAGCTGTAATTTCAGCTGTTTTTCAGCAAGTTATTCTGCAATAAGCATTCAGACTACATTTTCACAGGAAATGCATTTTCTCTAGTTACATTTGATTTGATTTGATAGTTTCAGAATAAAAGGAATCGAGATGCAAACGTGCCACATGGAAGAATTTTCCTTGTAACAAGTATACATTGAAAACCTGTATCATTTTCATTCTACTTCACAATAATGCAGCACCTTGTGTTGGTCCCTCAAATAAAATCTCAGTAAAATCCTTTGAAGTTTGTTGTTGTAATGTGACAATATGAGGAAAGGTTCAAGAGGTATTAAGACTTCTTCAAGATATTTACATGGTAAAAAACATAGTATGGGTTTCTGGAAAAATGTGCATTACGTATATATTTATGTATGATTGATTAAATTATGTTTAAAAATATATAAAGTTTAAGTAATCTAAATTATGAGGGATTGAATAATATTAATGCAAGTTTTTGTCTCTTTTCTTCTTCAGTTTATTGCCTTTGCATCCTTGTTCTTCATCCTGGTCTCCATTACCACCTTCTGCTTGGAGACCCACGAAGCTTTCAACAAAATCATCAACAAGACAGACGTACGGAATAACACTGGGCATGACTCAGGACCACAGTATGAAATTGAAACGGATCCTGCACTCACATATGTGGAAGGTGTTTGTGTCTTCTGGTTCACAATTGAATTCCTTGTGCGTGTGACATTCTGCCCGGTCAAGTTGGAGTTTGTTAAAAGTCTTCTCAACATCATTGACTTTGTGGCCATTCTGCCTTTCTACTTGGAGGTAGGGCTGAGCGGCCTCTCTTCAAAAGCTGCCAAGGATGTGTTGGGTTTCCTCAGGGTGGTGCGTTTTGTTCGCATACTGCGTATCTTCAAGCTAACACGTCATTTTGTGGGGCTGAGGGTTCTTGGCCATACATTGAGAGCCAGCACCAATGAATTTCTGCTGCTCATCATTTTCCTGGCATTGGGAGTGTTAATTTTTGCCACCATGATATACTACGCTGAAAGAATTGGTGCTAAGCCGAATGACCCTACTGCTGCCCTCCACACCAAGTTTAAGAATATCCCCATTGGATTCTGGTGGGCTGTGGTAACCATGACTACACTTGGCTATGGCGATATGTATCCAGAGACATGGTCAGGCATGGTGGTGGGTGCATTATGTGCTTTAGCAGGTGTACTGACAATAGCAATGCCAGTGCCCGTTATTGTCAATAACTTTGGGATGTACTACTCTCTGGCCATGGCTAAGCAGAAGCTGCCCAAGAAGAGAAAGAAACACATCCCTCAAGCTGTGCAGGGGAGTTCACCGACCTACTGCAAAGCTGACCTCAGCGCCACCTGTAACAACACCCAAGGTGACCTGTGCCATGTTAAAGGAAGCAGGGTACTAGAACGCAACCGTTCAGGTAAGACGATGGGGAGAAACATTTACTGCAGCAGTTCATTTACATAGAGACAACAAAATAAACACATAAATAATATGTTCATGGGTAGAAAGTACTTAGACCAAATGTATATTTTGATCAGTTCTAAAGTGATGTTCTGTTAAATAGTTGTTACCTTGTGAGTATGACATCAGTTAAAAGCACACAGTATGAAGAAAACTGCAGAAGTCTTCACCCTAGGCTAATGGCTTCCTAAACAAGAACCCTTTTGAAATAGTTTTTCGGGCTTATAAAACTAGTATGAAAGATAACTACAGTAACTAATATTATGATTCTATGCTTTTGCATCACTGTAAAGGGGCTGTATATAACACTTACTTATATTATACGTGTACTTACATTGCATTGTAAAGCACTTTAAGTATCTTGATTAGAATTAGAAATATCTAATCAAGATACTCAAAGTTCTTTACAACACAATCTGTGCCCTCATTTACCCATTAAATTCAATTCAATTCAATTCAATTCAATAATACTTTATTAATCCCAAAGGGAAATTATTTTGTTGTTGTAACTCGTTATCCTCATTTCATTAAGAGATGTTATAGTTGCTGATGGCTCTTGTAAAGGTCCATCCCACAGTGGATCCTCAGAAACTGGCTGTAGATGCCGTCCAATCCGTCCACCCAGACTCGACTGGCCTCTTGGTTCCCCTGGACTGTAGGACCGCCTGAATGCTGGGCAGAACTCCTCCCAGAGCGATGGCCACTCCTCCCAGCAGTCTGCCGAGCTCCTCATAGCTGCGGACAGCCAACTGTAGGCGCTGAGGGATGATCCTGTCCTTCCACTGTCGTGAGCCGTGTTTCCTGCTAGTTCCAAGATCTCAGTGGTCAGGCACTCTAGCCCAGCTGGCAGGTAGATGAGAATGCATCCACAGAACATCCTTTTCAACTCATTTGAGTCTCATTCATACAGAATTCTACTACGTGTATCTCTAGAAAGACTAATCAGAGCTTTAGATCACATTCATACACCGATGGGACACACATCAGAAGCAATGAGGGGTTCAGTGTCTTTCCCAGGGACACTTCAACATGTGACTGCTGGTGAAATTGAACCCCCAACTCTCCCATCGGAGGACAGCTGCTCTAACCACTCAGCTACAGCCGCCCCACAGCATGAAACAGGCCTTTGGTTGGCTAGCCAATAACCAAGATGAAGACTTCTGCCCTTTTCTTCATACTCTGTGTTCCATGAACAGGGTACTAACTATTGATTAGCTATTAGACTATTATTAGAACTATTAGACAGACCATTATTTAAATAATGACCAAACTAGACCTTTAAAGGAATTAATTTAGGTAGAAAGATCTAATTAAGGTCTACCTTTTTGCTGATTAAAAGGTAGATGTTTGTTCACATAAGCTCAGGGTGACAAGAAGTCAGATTACCTATGTCCAGGATTCTAGCAGCAACATTTATTTATTGTTAGGACCGTCTGTGGCTGTATTTCCCTACTAAGTTTGCATCTGTTATTTAGTCTGACACATCCGATATTGATGGAAATTAGTGTTGAAGTTTGTATACAAGCCTTATTTAAATTCTAAAGAGTATCCCACTGAGTAGGCATGCACTCTTGGCTTGTTTATTAAGTCTCAGAACCTTATTTTTAGTATGATCAGAATAATATATTCACTGAATGCACAAATAGATCAAATTCATGTAAGTGTGGAGTTTCTTTGGGGGTTATTTTGGTTAAGATTCCCAACTTTTCTTGCTTAGTGTTCTTAAATGTGTTATGTGTCAATTCCAAAAAATTTCACGTGTAAGTGAAAACAATTGAAAATATTAAAGAAATTCAGTGCTGGATATTGTTTTCAACAATAATCAAAATAAGATTTTATACCTGCAAATTACAATATTATTATTATTATTATATCATCATAATCATCATTAACATTATTATTATTACATATTTTTATTATTATTATTATCATCATCATAGAGAGTGGTGACACAGAGGTTAGAGAAGGTGGGCCTGTGATCGGAAGATCGCTGGTCCAACTCCCAGTACCGACAACATAAAAATGTGAGTGGGAAAGATGAAACACCCACACGTCTCCACCCTCATATGCCCCACTCTGGGTCCTTGAGCAAGATCCTTAACCCCCACCATCCGTTCCCTTGGGCACTCTAGACAGCAGCTCTCTGCTCCACACAGAGGACTGTGGTAGCTCGGTGGTCTGTGGTTGTGTCAGGAAGGACATCCGTCCTAAAAATAATTGCTACGTCTTCGTGGGACTTGGTTCGGTGTGGTGACTCCTAAAAACGAAGAGAGCAGCCAAAAGAAAAAAGAAAAAATCATCATAATCATTATTACTATAATAATATTATTATTGTGATTATTATTACTATTATTATCTTGTTCTCCTAATAAAACAGAAAAAATATACTATTATTAGACATATTATCCTTGTCTCCTTCTGTGTGAAAGAAAAAGAAAGTCATTAAAATTTAACACTTTATTATGTATTTGAAGTATTTTATGTATTTGATAGAGGCACCTTCATGATGTAGGTAATTACCATCAAGCTGTGGCTTTAGAGCAAGTATCAATACGATGATAGGATACAATATTATTGAGACTTGTGGAGCTAAAAACATTATTATTTCTGGAATATGCAGAAAGTGACAAAAAATAATCTGTATTTTGCGAAAACACCCAGTGGGATTAAAGAAAGCAATGGCTCTGTGATCCACGTGAAGTGAACATCATCTGACCTTTGACCTCCACCCTGCTACACAACGGTGACATATAGAGTCTTTTTATGTAAGACAGTGTTTGATGTTTGTCAGGAATCCAAGCTCTCCCGCTCCACCAGTTCACATTTACTTTCATCAAAAATATAAGATCTTGTAATAGTACCTAGACAGATGGGGGTTTAAAATATTGCTCATAACCTTTCCTTCCTTTAACATTAGGCCTTAAAGTCTGTTTATTTAGAAAAGAGATATCTGACATGGCACTTATATTTAGGTATTGAAACAAGAAGTTAAAATTGAAAATTTGACCTCTACATACCAAATTTGTGTGCTCCTTGGGATAAATCATACAATCCCAGTATGTGTAATGTTAGGAGCAAAGTCAGTCTGTGCACATCCTCTAGCTAGAGAATATATGACTGTTCTTAGAATAAATAAGACCAAAGGAATATTATCTTGATAGCAGCTGTTTAAGAATACTACCATTAGTACATATCAGAATACTAACAAGGAAATGCATTATTTTTAAATAGCCGAAATGATGTTTGTCCTATTTTTATTTCTCTCTCAAAGTTCTGTCAGCAGATTGTAGTGGGGGCAGTGACCTTAGCTTGTCCACAGAGGAGAGGGTCCCCATGCGACGGTCCAGCACCAGGGAACAGGACCGCCACAGTGGGGGGACATGTTTCCTCCTTGCTGCTAGTGACTACAGCTGCCCTGCAGATGGAGGGATGAGAAAAACAGGTAACTGCTTGTGTAAGTTCAACAGCTTTTCTATATCATTCATTTTGTTTAATTGTTATTGATGCATTTATGTAGGAGTTATCTCATTTACTTAGAATTTATTTACAAATCTGCTTTAAGTTTTCTTTTTCATGACTTCTTTTTTATTATACATGCATCTACAACATTATAGAATAAAAATAAATACACAAAATAAAATAGGAATGGTCTTAAAACCTCAGACATCAGTCTAAATCCTCATCAGCTGATCCATGTCCTTAGTGGCAGGTACACCAACGTCTCTGAAGGAGGGAAGGCTGTTTGTTCAGCACTAGTCAGTTCAGGTAACGTAACTTGTGCATCTGCCGTTGCAACTCAGTGACCCACATCACAGATTTTGGCGTTTCGGAGGGTCCAATGCTTCTATGCAGCCGACTCTGAACTGTTGCTTCTTCATAATTTATTCATGTTTTCTTATTGCTTGGAAACGTTTGAATAAATTTTTGACGCAGCATGTCACTTTTTATTTATTTATTTATTTTCATAGTTGTTGCATCATTTGTTGCCCATCTGCAACAGCAAGATAAATGATCCTGCGTGGCTTGCCTCAAAGGCAATGATAAACCAGGAGCTATTAAAAACCACTACAACTTTTTTCTTATTTTACTACAATTTGACATTTTTAGGTGTTACATTTCCTGTTTTTTTCTACTAAGCCAAAACAATTACTGACCAATGAAATGTGCCATTCAGAGATAAGTCTATTGACATTTTAAACATCAATTGAGATTAAAGAAAACATAATAAAGGAAGCAATGTATAAAACAGGGGTCCATACCTGGTATAGACTACCTTACAAAGAACATACAGTGTAAAAACCCTTTAGAAACCAAGTAAATAGTAAATGGACTGCACTTAAAGTATAATAGAGCCTTTCTATCTTATCAAGATACTCAAAGTGCTTTACAATACAATTTGTGCCCTCATTTACCCATTCATACAGCATTCTACTAGATCTACTCTATACAAAGAATAATCAGAGCTTTATCACTTTCTTACACCGATGGGACACACATTGGAGGCAATGAGGGGTTCAGTGTCTTGCCCAGGGGCACTTCGGCATGTGACTGCTGGTGGAATCGAACCTCCAACTCTTACACTGGAGAACAACTGCTCTAACCACTCAGCCACAGCTGCCCCCAAGTATTCTTGTAAGTACCAGGTACGGACCTGGTACTTTTTGGAAATTTACTAGATACATAACAACTGTATAAATAAATGTCATGTATGTACCAGGTATGTACTTAGTACATCAATCAATCAACCTTTATTTATACAGGTAAATCCCATTGAGCCTCGAGGACTCATTTACAAGAGAGACCTGATTTCAACAAAGAAAGATGACAACAATGGACAACAGCAACAACAATAAGCAGTTATAAAAAAGCATACTACAGTTTTTTTTTTGTTGTTTTTTTTTTTTTTTTAACAAATAGGATGGCTAAAAGGAAAAGGTAACAAAACAAAAAACAGCTAGATTCCAAGACAAATGTAGAAAACTAACAACAGGAACATGTCAGCATTGGACCCTGCCAGGTGTCCAACAGATTCTTAAAGACACTTAGAGAGGTCAAGGTCAAGAGCTTCAAATCTTTTTGTAAGATGTTCCAGGAAACAGGAGCGGAATAGGAGAAGGCCCTTTTGCCTAGTTCAGTCCTCATTGAGGGAACACTGCAGGTAATAATGTCCTGAGAGCGCACGCTGTAGCTGCACTCATATACATACAATGGAAATAACATGCAAGTACTGTTTACCTACAGAGGTAAGTACCGGATGTGTGCCTGGTACTGACATGTACTTTGCAAGTATGGCAAGTACAACATATGTACCCCATATGTGCCAGGCATGTACCTGGTAACATGTATGTACCCACTGTGTATCAGGCTGTAATATGTATTGCTGACAAAATGAACAATAAGCAGGTCTTATTGGACAATGCTATTTTATTAAACCTTTTATTCTTATCCTGATGCATGCTCTTTTTATTCTTGTTATTTTTACAGCTTAGTTCAAAAACGTTTTATACACACACACATATACATACAATGCTGGTAAACAAAATTTGAGAATATCTCCTGTTAACAGTCCTGACACCAGGTTAGACCAATGGGGGTTCACAAAAATTAATGTTGCTTTGGTGTAACTTCACAAAAACTATATCAGACTCCGTAGTTTTCTCTGGTCCCCTCCCCAACCTGACCAGTAATGTCATGTTAAACCATATGTTGTCGTTCAACCACTGGCTGTCCAGGTGTTGTTCCGATAACAATGTGGGCTACGTACATAATTGGAGTGATTTTGGGGGAAAACCTGGTCTGATGCGAAGAGATGGCATCCATCCCACTTTGGACAGAGCCACTCTTCTTTCTAGAAATTTGGATGATTTTGTTTGTCCTCCAAATTATTGACAACCCAGCGTCCAGTCCAGGAAGCAGAGGTGTGGTCTTCCACACCTCGCTACTCCTTCTCCTCTGTTACCTACCCAAACCCCCATTGAAACAGTGCCAGGTTGCCCATGGCTCAAGTTAAATAAACCAAAAATAAACTCTAAAAATATAAATCATGAAAATCTTATTAAAATAAACACAGTTACTTTACCAGAACAAAATAATAAAATCATTAAATGTGGATCAATGAACATCAGATCTCTTTCCTCTAAGTCCCTGTTAGTGAATGATCTGTCAGGCAGAATAAATGAAGAGATTTATTCTGTCTGACAGAAACTTGACTACAACAGAAGGCTTTTGTTAGTATAAATTAATCAACTCCGTCTAATTGCCATAACTTCCACACTATAAGCCACTGCTTTTTTCACATATTTTGAAAACCGCCGCTTATAGAATGCTAATTTGTGGATTTTTTATGACGGGCTAACGAGCTTCATGCTGCCAAAACATTTGACCTCATCACACCCGGGCACTCACATAGCTGCCTAATACATGTCTCTCTTGGGAGGTGGATCCTCATGACTCAATGAGACTACCTGTATAAATAAAGGTTAAAAACAATAATAATAATAATAATAATAATCTTCCATCCATCCATCCATCCATCCATTATCTTCCGCTTGTTCCAAAGTCGGGTTGCGAGGGCAGCAGCTTGAGCAGCAAGGCCCAGACATCTCTTCCCACGCCCGCCTCTTCCAGCTCTTGTGGAAGGACCCCAAGGCGTTCCCAGGCCAACGGAGAGACGTAGTCTCTCCAGCATGTCCTGGGTCTTCTCCAGGGCCTCCTCCCAGTCATACATGCCTGAAGCACCTCCCTAGGGAGGTGCCCAGGAAGCATCCTTACCACCTCAAATGGCTCCTCTCAATGTGGAGGAGAAGCGGTTATTCTCCATCTCTCCCAGATGACTGAACTTCTCACTGTTTCTCTAAGGATGAGACCAGCTACTCTGCAGAGGAAACTCAGTTCAACCACCTGCATCTACGATCTCATTCTTTTGGTCACTATGCAAATTTTGTGGCTATAGGTGAGAGTAGGAACTTAGACCAACCGGTAAACAGAGAGCCTTGCCTTACAACTCAGCTCCCTCTTCACCACAATGGACCAGCACAGACTCTACAATACTGCAGATGCTGCACCAAGGTATCTGTCAATACCATGCTCCATTCTTCCCCCACTAGTGAACAAAACCCCAAAATACTCAAACCCCTCCACTTGAGGTACAAAGTAGAACCTTACCCTTGACCCGAAGAGAGCAATATACCCTTTTCTGACTGAGGACCATGGCCTCAGATTTGGAGGTGCTGATTCTCATCCCAGTCATTTCACACTTAGCTGCGAACCGCTCCAGTGAGGGCTAGACATCATGGCACGATGACGCCAACAGAACCACATCATCTTCAAAGAGCAGAGATGGAATCCTGAGGCTAACTAACCAGAATCCCTCTGCTCCTGGCTGCACTGAGAAATTCTGTCCATAAAAGTTATGAACAGAATCTGTGACAACGGGCAGCCCTGGCATAAACCAACTCCTACCCTGAAGGGTTCTGACTTACTACTGGCAATGCAAACCAAACTCTTGCACTGCTTGTATAGGGACTGAATAGCCCAGAGCAACATGCCCCCAATTCCATACTCATGGAGCATCCTCCACAGCGTACCTCGAGGAACATGGTCAAAAGCCTTCTCCAAGTCTACAAAACACATGTAGACTGGATGGGCAACTCCCATGACCCCTCAGGGACCCTAGTGAGGGTAAGGAGCTGATCCAGTGTTTCATGGCCAGGACGGAACCCACATTGTTCCTCTTGGATCCGAGGTTCAACCAACGATCAGACTTGCTTCTCCAGTTCCCCTGAATAGTCCTTACCAGGAAGGCTAAGGAGAGTTATGCCCCTATAATTAGAGCACACTCTCCGGTCCCCCCTTTTTAAAGAGGAGAACCACCACCCAGTCTGCCAATCCAGTTGCATTGCCCCCTATGTCCACACAATGTTGCAAAGGCATGTCAAACAAGACAGCCCCACAACATCCAGAGACTTAAGGGAATCAGGATAAATATCATCTACCCCCAGAGCCTTGCCGCCTCTGAGCTGTTTAACTACCTTGGCAATGTCAGCCATGTGGATATGGATAAACCAACACCGAAGTCCCCTGACTCCACTGGAAGATGTGCCAGTGGGTTTGAGAAGGTCCAAGAAGTATTCCTTCCAACTCCCAATAACATCAATGATTGAGGTCAACAGCATTCCACCTTCACTGAAAACAGTGCTGTTTTCCCCTCCTCAGCCACCTGATGGCTTGCCAGAATCTCCTCGGAGCTGACCGAGAGTCTTTATACAAGGCCTCACTGAACTCCTCCCACATCCAAGCTTTTGCCTCAGCAACAGCCAAGGCTGTGGACCATTTGGCCCTCTGGTACTCCCCAGATGCCTCTGGAGTCCCACCAGCCAACAAGACCTGATAGGACTCCTTCTTCAGCTTGACAGCCTCCTTAACCCGAGGTGTCCTCCAAAG